TTATTAAAAAGGTAGGCAACTTTTAATATCTATAAGATAATTTGAAATTGTATAATATATATATATATATTTTCAAAAAATCCCACCTTACTTATTGTTAACTAGTTTTGAATTGATGTTTGATAGTTTGAAATTTTCTAGATATTAATGTCAAATTTTTACTTTGATATTAGTAATATTTAGATGAATTTTGTTAGATTTATTTGATTTTACATCATTTTTATTAGAGGAGGTAATAAAAAACTTATCTATAATAAAAAAAATTAATAATTTCAACTTCTTTAAATTAGATTTCATTTTTTTAAAATTATTTTTATTTTCGTTTAATGTTTTTATGCTTGCAATTATGATTTAAGTTTTAATATTTTTATTAAAAACTAATTTAGTTTTTTAAGACTACAATGTAATGTAATCAATTTGATATAAATTTTTATGGTTTTTATACTTTTGAAGATTGCTATTTTATAATAAGTATATTTTATTATTCTTAATGCTTGATTGCCATTACAATTAACATGGGGAGCATAATTGATTTCAAAAGGAGATTTTATATAATAACTTCTAATAATATATATTACAAATTGAACAGAAGTCTAAGCTTGACCAACTTGGTTTGCGTAATACTAATAATAAGTAGACTTGAAAGTTTTTACGTAAATTAGAGAATTTCAGATGATATAATCAATTTTTACTTATTTAAATTTACATAAAAATACATTGAGTTAATAATTAAAGATATGTTTAATATAACTTGAGAAAAATATATCAAATAGAATATGAAATTTTGTTGTTACGTGATAGTGAATATCTTAAAAGTACAATAATTTTTAAAAAAATCTATGTTAATTAGTTATGATGAAATTAGATATCTTAATACTAGATATCTTAGTATCTTATGTTTTGGTTAGATTTTGTTTTATTTTGTTATTCTTTTTAGCTATTTTTAATTAAAGTTTATTTTTTTATTTGTTCAAATAAATTTAAATTAATTATTTTTTATACTAAGTTAATCACAATTCTTATGAGTTCGATACTTTTTTCATAACTTTATTACTTGAACAACTGGTAAACTTAGTAGTGATTTTAGTGCATCAATATTCATATTCCTTCCAATTTAATTTACCTGCCTCATTTAATTCATTTACTAATATGTTTTTTGTTGCACATGATCATGTCCATAAAAGAGAATAATCCTTACATTTTTTCAAATTTCTCTTCATTTAACTCAAGGTTCGAACTTAATTTAGAATTTCAAATTCTTAGTTAATTGAGTCATCCATGTAAGGGTATTTATATACTACTATTATTGACAAATTTTATTTAATATAATAATTAGTTTTTATCTTTTCATATGCATGTTATATATGTATCTCAAAATTACTCACCCCATCTTCAAATATTTGAATTTGGTTAAGAATTAAAAATTTTTAAATAATATATATATTTATTTATCAATTTGACTCTTAAAGAAAAGAAGACAAAAGAACTAAGAGATTGTTGAATTAAGTTAGAATTCACTAATTTAAAATTTTTATTTAAATCTCTTACCAGCTAAACCTCAAATAAAAAAAAATGATTTGGGGTATGTTGGTCATGTAAATTCTTGTTAGTTAACAGAAGCTTGTTTTCAGGTAGCTAATGGATTAAATTTGGGGTGTTTTGGTCTTTGCAGTTTGCTTTGTGAGGGCAATTTAATCATTTCAAATGTTAACTCACGCATACTAACAGAATTCTTTCTTACTGTTCACATGATGTCACCTAATTCACCACTTGTTTGTTATGTGACCTAGAACAAATTAAGGTAAGTTGGTATAGACAAGTTGCCACCTAAATTTTTAAAAAATATTAGATATAATATATATTTTTATTTTTTGTAATATTTTGTTTTTAAAATTTAAATTTTTTGTCAAATTTAGTAATTAACTAAGATAAAATTTTAATTTATATTCATTAAAATTATAATTATAATTTACAATAATCAATATTATAATTTAAATTTTATTATAAAAAAAATTAATTTATTATTAAATATTAATATTTTTAACAAGTAAACCCTTCAACAATTTAATTTAATTAAATTAGCACTTCGCACATAATTAAAATTACCTTAAAAGTTAAAAATTAGTTTCAATTTTATAAATCCTCAAATTAAAATCATTCATGTGTTGTTAGTGTTGAAAATAAAATTAAAATTTTTTATTTTTTTATAAGAATTAGTGAAAAATATGTAATTTAATAATGATATTAAGTTTTTTTAAGAAATAATAAACTTTAAATTATAATATTGATTATTGTAAATTAAAATTAGAATCTTGATCAATATAAATTAAAATTATTATCTTAATTAATTATTACATTTGACATAAAATTTAAACTTAAAAAACAAAATCTTGTAAAAGATAAAAATATATATATTATATTTAACATTTTCTAAAAGTTTAAAGGGGCAACTTTTCTACATTCGCTTTGATTGTATTTTGGGTCACTTGGCATGCAAGTGGCAGATTAAGTGGAATTGTTAGAAAGAATTTTGTTAGTCTAGCTAAGGGATGTTTGTCAAATAAATCATTTTGATACAATATTGATAGTTTATAAATCATTTTGAAAAAAAAAATATTTCTAAACTAAATTGAAATAGTTAATAAATTATTTATCAAATTTAGCCAAAATGTATGTACCGATAGGGAAAGGTTATATTTATTAATGAAAAAACTAAGATTATTAAAATTATAAAGCATTACTTTTAAAAGTATTGATTTTATTTAATTTAATTAATAAAAATAATTAATAATTAAATTGAAATAGTTAATAAATTATTTATCAAATT